TTTATATAAATATTCATTAACTTTCTTTAATATGTGGAATGTGTTTAAGTATTAATTTCTCTAAAAAATATGAAATTATATATGGATTATTTTGTTTTGTTGCAGAAAAAATTATAGATATTATAATTTTGCACAATAACTCTATTTTATATATAAATATATGCATATATTATCTACAAATTATATGTATTAATACCATGTAATTTAAGTGATTATATAAAAAAATCCTATAACTCACATATATAAAATCATGATACATACCACTTTTAATTGGTAACATTATTATTTATAAACACTATTTTTTAATAATTTTTTTATAATTATATAATTATAATTGTAATAAATTTTTCCCTTTTATACAAACTTTTTTGAAGATATGTTAATTTGTTTTTGTCAAAACATTTATATAATATAGGAGGTATAAAGTGAAAAATATAAAATATCTTTCACTAAACACATTTCATTATTCAAGAATATAAATTACGATGTCTTATATATGAATTTAAACATATAAATTATATATATCACGTCTTATAATTAAAAGAATAGTGTATTATGTTATTTGTCTTATATCATGTATTAAGTAAAAATATAACATTATAATATATTATATTTTTTCTCCTTCACATTTATTTGGTTAATAATGGATTTATTAAGTATTCACCTATTTATTCTCTTTTAATTAAAATGGTAAAATATCATATATAAATATTATTTTTAATTGACTATGTGCAAAGTATAAGTAATTATAAACACTTATATAAAAAGTATAAATAACATAGGAATTTCATTGTACTACTTTAATATTTTAGCTTTCATGGAAAAGAAATACATTATACTTAAAATATGTAATATGAGTATAAGTATTAGCAACATTAATTCATATATATTCTTGATTTTTCTTTTTTATTCATATTCAGTAGATCCAGCAGAACAAAAAATGAAAAAGAATTATTTATGTTCTACTTATTCCATAGATAACATATTATGTTAACTACAATTATTTTTGTAAATCATTGCGTTTGTATAACATTTAAATTTAATGATTGTTCTATTTCTCTAAATACAATTACTTTTTTCTTATTTTTTTTATGCTATAATAATTAATATTTAATATTTACTATTTAAATATCAGGAATGTAATCCATTTTTATAATATTTATTTTAATATTCTAATATATTTTATTTTGTAATTACAAAATAATGTGGACTTTTTATTTATTTATATAAACACTAAGTCTTGATAGAATAATATATATATATCAATTTTTAAATTGTAGGCAGTTCTATTTTTTTCTAATAATGTGCTTAGTATAAATATATATTTTTTATATATTTTGTATGATATCTCCAATTCTTATAACTGAAGAATTATAGATACATATTTGTTTATGATCCTAATATATATATATATAATATAGAAAATAAATTGGATAAATACATAATATAGATTTGCTAAATATTAGTAAAAAAAAATAAACATGCGGCGATTTTAAGAAATATTTTACTTTTTTTCAACACAAAGTATATCAAATTTATATGAAGAAAACATATTATAGATAAAAAATAATTTAAAAGAAAATTATATAAAAAAGTAACCAAATAAATAATTTATAATATCATGGATGAATAAGTTTCAGAAATTATATATTTATGTAATTTCTTATAATTTTCAAATTTATATATACGTAATATTTTACAATATATATATATTTTAATTTAGACATAAATGTGTTTTGTATTTATATAGAATGTTATAGCTCTTATGAATAAGTGAAAAAAGAAAGAAATATATATTGGTTAAATATAATATATAGTAATAATATATCTTTTCTTCCTTGAATTGATTAATTACACATATTAGACAATAAATACTTTAATTCATTATAACAGTTGGTCAAAGAATTGATATAAATAATATGATGTAAAATAAATTAGTGCTTATGTCAATCCTGACTTATAATAACATATATATTATAAATATATACATATATGAATGAGGATAAAATTATATTCTTTAATTTTTTAATAGAATTTATAATAATCATGTAACTTAGTAAATAAAGAACATCATTTCCCAAAAATTAATACTCAATTTGTCATAAAATAGTTGTAATATTAGAAAAAATCAATTTTTTTGTATCACTATATTTAATATTCAATCTTATGCTTTATAAGCAGTTATTTATACGATACAACAATTATATATTTGAGCATAAAATTATATTTTTTTGTCATTTATGAGTTTAAAATAAAATATAATTTAGAATGTATAGGCAAATATTATGAAAAAAAATATAAAATCAGAATAATGTACCATTATTATCCATTACGCCATAAAAATATTATATTTTGTGTTTTGAAAAAATATATATACTCAGAAGTAGTATAAAAATAAATTTATTTTTACTCTAAATATATTTTCTGTACATTTATTATTGGCACTTTTTATATTCATAAAAATGAATATAAATATAATTATTAATTTAAAAAATGATCATTTGTTTCTCTAAATTCATATTTATCCTGATAAAGTATTGTCTTAAATAAGCATCTAATAACTTAACCAATGCAAATATTTCATTATATTATAAAATATGTGTATTTTTTGTATTCATAAATTAAGGCACGCAGGATCCACTAAAATTATATAATAATTTTTAAGATTTGGACATTATAATTATAACATTTATGTTTTTTTATACACACCTTAAAATTATATGGTATTTATCTAAATTAATTCATACTGTAGAAGCTCTTTATTTATGTATATGTTCATTTAATTGCAATAAGTATATATATTTATATCATGATATATACCCACAATATTTAAAACATATAAACAGCATTATACAATTCATGCATCATTTTTATATATGTATATATTATAAATATTTATAATAATTTTTCTTATTATTATAAAATTTATACACAAATTTTATGAGCATATTTTAGTAGAAACATATTATTATATGAATTTCTCATATATTTTCTTATACGTTATATATGTTTTAAAATCAATATTGTTGATTTTAATACATTTTGCATAATGTGCACATTAAGAAGTAATTATTGATGAAATGTGTATATGGAGAGTATCAATAAAACAATATATATTTAACTATGCTTATAATAGAAATCTTCGTTTACATTGAAATTAATGAGGAATTAATACTTTGATTATAAGAATAATATTGTGTTAAGAAAAATGATGAACACTAGGGGAATATTTTAAAAAATCATTCTAATAACATTTATCTCTATCATATATATACTATAACAAATTAATTGCACATAATAATATTATAAAAAGGGTTCTTGTTATCACTTTTGTTCTAACAGAATATATTAATCTCATTTTACAAAAAGGGATATTTCTATTTAAATATATTTATGCATAAACATATATTAACAAAAAAAAAAAGTAAATAATTATTATTCGCAAAAAAAAAAATAAATATTATGATGGAATTAATTAAGTAAATTTATAATTACTTTTTAAATTCCTACATGGTCTAAAATAGATATATGTATTTAAAGTGTATGAATATGATAATAAAAAAAGTTCTTTGAAATAAAATACGTTACGCCATAATATTAGTATATATGTGTAGGAATATTTGTAAATATAGAAATTATAAGGGAATTTTTTTGAGAAAAAAACGATAAATTTTGTTATATAATAAAATTGTGACTATTTTGTAAATTAGTACAAGAGAATTATGATTGTATTTATCAATTATATTCATATTAATTATTTTTCTGCTCCTATATATTATTATGCAATTTTAAGGATTTTGAATAACTCAATTCAACAAGATCTCATGTTTTAATATAAGTAATCATTTATAACTCTCCAAAAATAACTCCTAGATGTATGTATATAATAGATAATTAATAATTTGAAATTTTTTTTTTTTCATATTGCAAATTTTTCATTTTATTATAAATTTATTTAAAAATAGATCATATTAACTATATTTTTGTAAATACTTATGTGTAATATTAATGTTTATAATTATTTGTTTTGATTTTATTATGTGTTCTACCTGTAAGGAGCTCCTATAAAATAAAAAAATAATAAATAAATATCACATATACCAATAGAAATATACATTTAAATAAATTGTAATTCTATAAATGCAAGATATATATATTTTTTGCTATAAATTTACTAATTTTAAAATGTATATTATTATATCCTTATGAAGATACTCTATACGTAAACAAATATCTTATAACTTTTTTTCTATTCCCACATGATAATATAATATAACAAACATAATTGCTTAAAATATTTAATATATTCTTTTTGTGATTAATTTAAGCAATGTCGCATTTATTTTGTGTTATTAATATATTTTATCTATAAATATCATAATTAACTCATTTAATATAGAAATATGTCTTTTTGAGTTCGTATGTAATAAATAAATAAGTTTATTATATATTTTTTACCCTTTATATATAAGTATATATGGATCAATAAATTTTATGTTATTTTAATATTACGTGTTATTTGATATTTTATATATTGAATTTAGAATTATTTTTTTATTTATAAATTCACTATATTTTATTGATTATTATAATATCACCTATTAAAACTTTTATAAATATAATTTTTATATTATTTAGATATAATAAGTAATTATAACATTTCACGTGTAATATTTAATAAAAAATATAAGTGTATTTTTATTACATAATACAGGTGATACTTATATTATTTAATATTTAATATATTTCATGGTTTGTTTATATTATAAAATCTTGATTTTGATAATTTCTATAATTCTAATCACTAGTTTATAAATTTGATAAAACAGTTTTTTTATTTTTACTTTTCATTAGAACAATTATAGAAACCAATTAATCATTTTGTCTTATTTATTTTTCTATAAGTTTTTATTTCTATTTTATTATAAATTCATCAGTTTTTAATAAGTTATTTTAAAAAATATAATATGTATTCCTTAGTATTAATTAAAATATTATTATTATATTAGAGTGTTATATAATACTTCGTGATATATATCACATAAATTTATTTGTTCTGTATCAAACAAATTATTTAATGTTTTTGCTTTATTTTTTTTTTTTACCTCATTCTCTTTATCCTCCTTGAAGTTGATTTTACGTATGAAACTCAATGTATATACTGAAATTAAAGAAGTAAACTTATATTTTTATAAATAGTTTATTTATTTGACATATAAATTACCTATTAATGTATATTATATGTTGTAATGTGATATATATTCCATAAAACTAAATTATTATTAACCCTATATATAATTAATATAATTACTGATATAGATATTACTACAACAAATGAGACTACAGAAAGCTTATGCATGTGTGTTCCATAAGAGGAATATAGGATTTTTGGAAATCCAGAGTATTCAGTCCAGTCAGTCCATTTTTTTATGCTTGTGTTATATTGATTTTTATAATTTCCTAGAACATCATTAAAACTTTTGTTATTAAGTTCTTGACTCATTGAAACAAGTTCTATATAATTTTCATAACATTTAACCCCATTTTCACAGTCATTATTATACGGCTGTAAATATAAGCGCGTTTCATATAGATAATTTAATTTTTTCATTATGTTATATGTGCTATCATTAATATCTACAACATGATTTTTGCATATATAAAAAACACTATTATGATTATAGTCCTCGGATTTCATTATGCTGTAAAGTTCTTTTTATCCACCCCAAGTAGAATTACTAATCGTTTATTCATGTTTCAGCTTGTAGGAGAAATATTGACATGATGGGTCTACAAGATTCATTTTTTCGTTTTTTACATATTCTAAATAAGACTAAGGCGCTTAAAAGGCGCATTAAATACGCGACCTGATTTTAATATTTCTTCGTCTAACAGTTTGCGTAAATTTGATCGTGAACAACATTATCTTGTATTTATCCATTATATTGAGCACTCTGAAAATCATATATA